TGCACAGAGCGAAGAACGGGTTACTAGATTATTATTATTATTATTATTTAGTTTGTTTAAAAGTTCTCCAGCTTTAATACAATAGTAGATTTCTGGTGTTGCATTACATGACCTCTAGATGTCAGTGTCTGCTCGAACATGAACATGAAGCCATCATTCATTGAAAAACATACAAGACTTTCTTTTATGCATACAGACTGTTATTTCTTTACAAATGGTCAGTTCAGTTGCTTGAAGTCATAAAGAACATTTGACCAAACAGTAAAGTTCTTACTTCAGGGAAAAGGTCTGTATTATTATACTGTTTGTTTGATTTGTCTTGTTTTTTTTTGTCCTATTTACAAAGAAAAGTCCTGCTTAGTATTTGTTGTTAATCTTTCCCAGTGCAGAGGTCCGAGGCAGTATACTTGTACTCTGGGACGCAGCCTGCGCACAGACTGATAGGCCCTGGCTGTTTTATATGTAAAGCTGGCAGGCAGAACGCAGGGACCCACGGGGATCTCAGCACACAACCTCCTTTGTTGGAGCCAAACTGTGGTGCAGTGCTACTGTCTAAGCAGCTTTGCATTCTGGGAGCAGAAGAGACGGGCAGGCCGCTGAGGATGGCAAAAGGTGGGTAAAGCATATTTATCTTAATATTCTGTTGTTGTTTGAAGTCATAGAAAGTCACAGTTTGTAAAATCATTTGGAATAACGGTACATGCACACATTTTGTTTTTCTCGACACTCAAGGTCACTTTGTAAAACCCAATCACAATGATCAAACAAATATTAAACACATTTTCCTTTGTATTGCCCAAAATCACAACAGCAGTCACAGAATTGTTAATTCATGATACATAGTTTAGGAAGGCTGATATTCTCTTCTTTGTAGATAAAGTTATTGTGTTCTTTTATACAATTGCAAGATAGCAACATTATTACCTTGACAAGTTTCGACAGTATTCTGCGCTTGGGAAGAGCAGTTGATAAGGCACGTCGTGTGTGACGTCACAAGACGCTTCTAAGGAAGACAGATGTATACCGTCCAAATTTAAAACATGTATAAAAGATCCTAATAACTTTATAGCATATTACACATAACCTTGATTCTGCTACACAGCATTGCCTTGCTTCTGTCAGTCTACCCCAGGGCCACTGTGGCTATAGGAGCTTATCACGACGTGTATTGAAAGAATAATGCCATGTGAAGTGTTATTGAGTGTCCAAAACAGCACAGCATAGAAAAACCAATGCATTATTATAATCATCATTATCATCATCAGTATTATAAATGTCCTGGAATATCCCCTGTCCGTTGACTCTCCCTCCAGTATAAAAAAATACATATAATTTTACACTAACTAATTCAAACATAGATTGCTCTGAACATACTTTTTCCCCAGAGATTATTCATCACAAATGTCCTACGTCAATAGCTTTTGACCCCAAAACTTTGCAACCACTCAATGGTCATAAACAGATAAAATGTACTTTTTGTGTTTAGGGACAGATCTGTATGCTGTCAATCATTGTCTCTGTCTAATGGCTTTGATGTTGGAATTCAGCTGTTAATTTATTGGACATGGTACTTTTTCTTCCTCTAACAGTGGCCTCATTCCTGCCCATTGTGAGTTACCATTGCAAATGAGATGGGTATCCGTGGACTTTTTGGACACTGTCTACATATTTAGTGGGTCAGAAATTAGCTGCTCTATCACAGATGAGAGTAAGTAAATATTGGTAAGCTTTATTTATCATTTGTATAAGTTCTTTAAAGTTGCAAGGGTTAGGCTCTTGTTCTAGGCTATATATAGTTAGACTCAACGCCATTGCAAGGATCACATGTTTTACATTACATTGTAATGTTGATCTGATATATTAAACAGTTACTTTGTGTGTATCACAGATTATTAGAAAAAAATAATAGCTAGTGATACGCCATATGATACCCCAGAAGTGTTTCAGTGTGGGAGAAAGGTCCTTAAAATGTAAATCTTTCTTGGTAGATAGTTTAACCATGTTTACTGCTTCAAGAACAGGTCAAGGCAATTCTTGCGACTGTTGTGTCATGTCCAGCAGTGATTTGTTCATTAGTTACTTTAGGATTACTTTTATTCCAGGCAAAATAGCTTTTGGGGACAAATTACAATATTGTATTCACCATAGATCATTTCTGTCCAGTTCAACATGAAGTCATTTGAAAAATGTTGTTTTGATTTTCCTGATCATTCACATCTTGACTGTATGAAAATTAAACTTTTTGCCCAACAGGATCTCAATTTTAGTATGTTGTTGAACGCCTTATAGAAAAGATCTATTGTGAGAAAACATACAATTGTAATTTGTTCATTTTTTTGGCACAAAAGCAGGTGCAGGTATGTCGGGACTTTATACCAGGTACAGAGGACAAGTAAAGGCTTTATGGGTTCTATCTTTAATTACAATGAGAAACGTCAAATGAAATGTCTGCTTGCTTTGGGCAAAACTCATGTGGGCACGGTTTGAAAACAGATTACATAAACGCTGTTTAATGCAAACGTCTACGAGACGGCGTTTATAATGACAACAAAACTAGCTAGAAGCGGTTATACACAATCCATTTTATGTTGTTTATTTCAAGGGAGAGAAAAAACAACTGCACAGTTATATTACTGCAATCAAATCAAAATCACTATTTTAGTGGTTACAATTAGAAAATGGAAAATACTACAGTTATTTACATAAAGGCACACAAAAATACAATACAGTACATTTGCAATTGTATTAGCATTAGTGTATTTTGACTCTTAATAAAAAAACACTTATTAGAAATGCATGCAGTCCCAATTTAACTATAACATTTTTTTTTAATTATCGCCAGTAGCTTCACTTACCTTTTTTCTGTGTAAAATTGAGATATTACATATCTGGGTTCTAAACAAATAATCGTTTCAAAAGGTCAATCGCTAGATTAATTGATCAAAAATAATCCTTTTGCATGCTTTTTTTCCAAGAAAAAGTCAACTTCAAGACCCTCAAAAAGTTCATTTTAAAGCTAAATCAATATCTATGACTTTCAACATGGACTGTTTGAAACTGTTATAATATAATGACTAAACACAGTAAAACTAACAATGACAATCTTGTTCACATTTATTTAGAGCCTCATATGAAAACCCCAAAAGTCTACTGAATATGAGACGTACAGAGTCCAACACACGACTTGTCAGTGATGTCAGCATCCTCGTCCACGCTGCTTTCTCTGTCCTTATTAAGCTTTTCCTCTTTCATCTCCTCTGACCAGCTCCACCTCACACAGCTTCTCCATTGTTTAGATGAATGACCTAATTACTCCACTGATTGAGGTTACACAACTACAGCTTTACAACCTCTCCATAGGATTGTGTGGGACAGTTTTCGCGAGTCCATTGCGATTACGATTACTTGCAATGTTACATCAGCTTTCTTGAGTTTCATGAATAACTCAATGTTCTGATTCTTATCTCAGAGCAAAGGAAGTGAGTGGCGTGTAATTGCTATGAAACACAATTACATTCACAGATATGCATCCCTTTCTGCAGATTACTTTGATGAAAGTTTAATCTTTGCTATCCTCTAAAGAAGCCATACATCACACTCTTTTTCTGCTTCTGAGTTGGATCAAGCTTATACATCGTCTTATGGTTTTGCTGAACAAGCGTCACATTTGGTTCACACTGACCGATGACGGAGACTTCATTTATACTTGCCGTGAATGAGCGTGATAAATGAGGACAGGCTTAGAAGTCAATAAAACAATAAAACCCCACACTTGAGAGATGTAATTAGGTGGTTTCAAATTCTTTTTTTTTAGTTATGACATATTTCTAATTAGTATCTTGGTCTCAACAGTTTGATTCATTGATCTGTTTTCACATGCATGTTTCTTTTTGGCCTCTGTCACTTCTTTATATTTTACTACGTTTGACTCTTTCTATGGGACAAACACAATGTATTTCCTTTAAAAATATACATTTTCTAAGTGTAATAACAATGTCTTTATCCTTCAATGTATGACAAATGTAAACTGTTGCTGTCTGTTTAACCTGGTGCTTTGCTTGTCTCTTGATGACTGCTCTTACAGACATCGCAGCCTAAAATGTCCGTGCTTTTCACAGTAGCACAAAAAACACTTCATTTTATTAGCTCTCAGGGGAGATGTCATTCTTGAGCATAAAAACTTCCATTTGGGGAGAGAAAAGGCACAAACATAATTCAGACAGTATTCCCCCAACAGGTGAACCAGGACTTTTCAATGGACCAGCACCTCCTTTTTAAAGTACATATTTGTAAGCCCCATTATTCATGAATTCCTAAATAATGAAATGATTTGAAATGTATTATTTAAGGCAATGTAGAAAGTGGGTCAGGTCAGGGACAATCAAGCAAATAACATTTTCATTTAGAGTAATCTTATAAATGTCCTTCTATTTTGCATAGTTTTTTGTGGTTCATTTGTTGATAGCATGTGTCCGCCTTACCCAGCTGCTTATATGTACTATTAGAACATGAAATCACTATCAATAAATAGACCACTATAACAGCTAGATAAATGGTGCAGCTTTAATTGACCAGAAATAAGGATTGATTGATTTAATGCCTTTTGTGATAGAGGCTGTGAAGCACTTTGTGTTACCTTGTGTAGGGAAAGCGCTCTAATAAAGGTTGGTTGGTTGATTGATTGAGATAATGAAACCTGCGGGTATTACAGCTTACTTGTATCTGTGCGCTTATATGTAAGAATATTACTGAGGTTACACTCGCATTTCAAGAAACTATATCTGTTAGCTCTATCTCCCCCTCTTTCAATCCACTGCCACATGTATCTCCGCACAATATGGACCTTTTAAAACTATCCCCCCATTTTATCAGCACTCTGTAGGTAATCCTCACCTGAATGACCCGACCCAAAGCACATCTGACACAAAAGCTCTGGGATATACCTATTACATGTGTGTAAGAGCAGCGAGAGGACGCCCCGCGTATCTAAAAGCCTCCAGATGCGAAAGAGGAGAGAAAGTAAAGTGCGCGCTTGGAGACGAGCTGGACACATCAGGCAGCAGAAGGAGGCGTGCTCTTGTCGTGCGCCGCAGCGTTTGATGATCCCCGTATGCTTTCTGTGGGTGAGGTCTGTGAGGTCTGTGAGCAGTGCAGCGGAGCAGACTTTACCTGTCCGAGCGCGACTTCACAGCGGCTCATCGGGACAAACATGCGCTGATTTTGCGTGACGCTCCATTTATAGATCTGGCGGTCTCTCCTCCGCGTCCCAAATCAACTAACTCCTGGCTATGAAATATGAACATTAACAGTTTGCTCATATGTGATCGCGTGTTTTTTATTGTAGGAGACAAAGCTATCCACCGTGACAAGAGCCTTATTTCTGGCGCTGTTGCGTTCTTTTGGTTTTGACAATAATGCCGTCTGGACAGATGCGCGCAGCTGCTGGAGCGTGTGTGCTGCTACTTTTCGGGACTCTCTGCTCTCGGGTCACGGAGGTGGGAGGCACCCACCAGAGCATCCCGCCGTCCGTGTAAGTGCATGCTCTACGCACTAAATGCCATCAGGCGTTTTATGGACAGTTACGATTGACAGACATGGAATTAAACTTAATGTTTGTAATTACAGAGATCGCAGTTTATTTGCTATTCTGGTAAAAGTGTAAAAATAGACTGACCCGTAAATTGCCTGTGCTATGCATCACTTTGCAATTCGTGTAGTCCCTGTGGAATCCAATAGTCGCTGGATCCCTGCATTATTAAATGTTAGGAAGTGGGTGCAAATAAATGCGTCATATTGAATGAATTGTTTTTATTAGCCGCCTGTTATTGTGTGCAGGGTGAAGTTGTGGGCTTCAGCGTTTGGTGGAGAGCTGAAGTCCATTTCAGCAAAGTATTCTGGCTCCCAACTGCTTCAGAAGGTGAGCTCTCGTTTACGTTGTTCTTTTAGGGTTTCGAAACATTTGAAATTATAGCAAGATATTGTTGATGTGGATTGGTAATACATACTGATTTGAATTGACTGCAACACAAGTTCCCCTCATCCCATTGTACAGCACTTTGATCACTGTTTCTTCTTCTTCTTATTTTAAAATATAATATTCTAAAATGATTCAAATCTGTAGCAATGACGTGGCAAGTATAATTTATATGCATACTTTTTTAGTTGACTTCAATTGAGTATAGCTCCATTTTTAACCACCAGTGCCTTTCAGTTTTTATTTTTTTTATTCCATACATATTTATTCACAAAGTCTGTTTTGCGCCATGTGGAGTGAAAGTATTCTATTAAACAGTAGGTCGCCGTTAAATGTTTGCTATTTGGAAAGATGCAAGTTTGAAGCTTGTTTAACTCTGTTTGTTTGATTTGTGAGTACTTGACACAGTCCTGTGTGTGTAGTTTGTGTAGTGTGGTAAACTCTGGTCCATATAATAGATCTTTTAAAGCACTACAAATGCCTCTTCTTCTTTCAGTGAAATATTTGAGTGTGATGGAATGCAAATGTGTCCTAATGGAGGGTCATGTGATGAAGGGTGAATTAATAGTGGCTAATGGATAGAGAGGGCCAGAGTGAAGTTAACCTCAGTGGGTGGTGAAGGCATTAAGTAGTGCCCACTGCAGCTTTTTGGTAGTTTGGTGATCTTGTCTGGGACACACTGTGACATCCTGTGATGCACATTCTCTAGTCGTTTTTCTATATAGCATTCCCACTGACTGCAGATGTGTCAACAACATATCAAATTATGATTGTTATTGATTTGGGGAGAAGAAATGTCGGAATTTGTGATTGAAAAACCAGCACTGCTATAGCCACTTTTTATTGTACATAATATATCCCGCACAAAAGACACTATATTTTTAACCTTTAACATGTTTGCACACTTCCTGTCTTTTGCACAACCCGCACAATCTATGACAAATATGACATGTACATTTCTCCATTGAGGGATCTATAAAGTTGATCTTATCTTACCTTAGCTTGAAACTAATAGTTATTTTCCCTTAATTTGTAAGTTTACTTTGTAAGTACAAGTATATTTTTTGGCAATGTAAACCTGCCATTCATTACGTGTTTCTAGAACAATAATGATGATTATGAATAAAACAAATATGAAGCATCTTGGTTGAAAAGCTCTGTGTGCACATTACATTCAACCTTATCGTGCCTTGTCTTTTTATGCTGGATGCCGCTCTAAGGCTTAAACCATTGATATTAAACAACAACCTGTAACTCCTAAATTATCTTTAGAAATTAGCAATAAACACATCATATTTGTCCATTTTATTTTTTTAATTTTTGGACTGTAGGCCCTGTCAGTGTTTGTACTGTACCATCAAGCATATTTCACACCAGTCATTTGTATTTCGTGTCAGGTGGATATCCAAGTGTCTTAACCATTTGTTTGACCTGCAAAGAGATTTGATGGAATAGGGGTCCATGAGTATTTTTCTGTCACCTTCTGCTTTTTTCGGATCCTTGAAGCAGCAAGTCTTCAAACTTCAGCTGCAGCCTCTGACAGTAGAGGCACGGTAATAAGATCCTCGCCAGATATGGTTGCAGATGTATTTTTTGTATCCAGCTCTTTCCTGACTTGTTATTGGAACAACAGTTCCCACAAGCCTGTCCATAATGTATCCAGATGAGGGAATCCTCGCAATAGATGTTTGTATCTTTCACGTTGATTAACTCTTCCTGTGTTCTCCAACATGCTGTTGCAGAGAGTTTTGTAATCTTGATGGCCAACTGTTTCCAGTTGATCTCAAGTTTGAAACTCTTTTTAGAGATGAAGCCTCGGAAACAATCAGCCTCTTCTTTGAATTCTTTGTTGTTCAAATGCCCGTTAGAACATTATATTTCACATATCGTTCCTTCGGTTGGACATATCATTCCTTTGTTTGTTTGCTGATCTGTTGTTTGAGCTCTTATACCATTTATCGGAAACCTTTCTGTGGTCTAAGGCTGAGGAAACCCTGTCTGAATTGTATATAGAAGGGCAGAAGACATTTTGACATAGATCATTTCTGCATAATCTGTTGGTTTGATCCTTTCTAGAGTTGAAGCCTCTGGAAAACTCAGCCTCTTCTTTGAACTCCTTTTCTGTTGTCCAAATACCTGTGAGAGCATTATATTTCACATATTGTTCCTTTGGGTGGACATTTTTTGCCGATCTGTTGGTTTTTTCCACAGACCGTTTAGTGGAAACATTCCTGTGGTCCAAGGTTGAGGAGGCCTGATCTGAATTGTGTTCAGAAGGGCAGGAGAGATTTTGACGTGGATATTTTCGGCTTAATCTATTGGGTTTATGTTTTCTAGCACTAAAGCCACAAGAAAGTTCAGCCTCTTCTTTGAACTCCTTGTCTGTTGTCAGAGCATTATATTTTACATATCGCTCTTTTGGTGGGACATTCTTTGCTGATTTGTCAGTTTCGGCATCTCTTTTCAACTCATTCAGGTCTGCTGAGTTTAATCTTTCAGGAACCAATGGAAAAGCGCCAATTTCTATCGGGTTCAAGTGAGTTCTGTTGATTTCTGCTGTTTTTGCCCCATCTTTTGAAGATGTATCCACAAAAGGGACGAATTCATTGGAGTTACCACTTGGACATACCCACATCACTTCTCTTGACTGCTCCAAACTCAAAAGAACACACATTAAAATGGTTCTTTATGGATTATGGTCATTGTTGTGTAGAATAGAAGAATGCCAACATACTACAGGGTGTTCTGCAAGTGGGGCATGACGGTGAAAGCATGTTGCGATGCTTGTTTTGGAGACAGTTGCAAACAAGGATCAGAATGTAGTCCTTTGAGGAGGTCCACCGAAGCCTTCCTGTCCTTGTACTCTTCAATTTCCCATTTTGGATAGGCCTGTAAACAGAAATTGTTGTGATTTTTTAAAAGGCATTGCAGAGTAGTAGAATATATGTAAAACTAAATTGTCTGATTAACTGACAAAAGTTTTAAAGCACGTACGTCTACCAGATCATCCAGGGATTTGAGTTCACAGCTATAACGAGTGTATTCTTCAGTTTTAGTCGGGGAAACATTTTCAAATTCCTGTAGAGTCCATGTCGTGGACCAGCTTTCTGTCTACTTCCTTAAAATAGAGATTTGCGAACACTCCATTAGAAAGCGTATAGTCAGGTGGACATCCAAGTATCTCAACCATTTGCTTGACCTACAAAGAGAAAACAATATTACCAGCACTAAGCCAAAATTCTATGTGAACTTTCAACATAAAATACTCTTCCTCACCATTTTATATTTGCACTCAGTAGGGATTGGGAATAGGTAGAGCAACACCACATTACATCCCAAAGTGAACACATCAATAGACTTGAACTTGTTGCACAAAGAAACTTCAGGAGCCCCATTGAAAACTCCATAATGTCAAATGAAGTTGCACAGTCCTGGTCTGATGTAATGATTTTGTTTGGTTGTCAAAACTCACCTGGATCCACAAGGCTGCACCGACATGCCAGGTCCAGAAGCATACCTGGCTTCACCTAAGTCACTCATCTTTATCCTTAAATACTTCTCCTTGGCATTGGGGAGCATAATATTATCTATTTTGAGGTCTGTGTGTATGGGTCCGAGACCTTTAAGACCGTCTAAAGTCTCCAACACCTACAAAGCAACAAGAGCAGGCCAGTTTTGCGTTTACCATGTGTGGGTTATATATCATTATTTTAATGTGCCACGGTGAAAGATATAGAAACTGTCTGTACCTGCTTGACGATCGATCCTATGACACCCGAGGCGAGAGACTCCCATTCTCGATATTCAATCAGGAAAAAAAGATTGAGATTTTCAAAAGCCAGACAGGTCAGGACCCTGGGGTAAAATCTGTCAAAGAATTTGACCAGGTTATAAGCCTCACAGTCCAGGACATGTAGGGCCTGTTGCATGGAAACCTGACACGAAGAAAATATTTCTTAATGTAACTAATTTATTACTGATTTTCACTGATGACAACAAAACTTGAAAACATGCAAACTAGGAACAGTATAACAATTACAAGTAAACATTCAATTGGAAGTATTGCATCAAAAACACAAATTTGTATTGTTATCTTACTTAGCCAAAAAATGCAGTTATATATGAATCCTACGCACCTCTTTGTCCGCCTCTTTGATGGCATATGGGTCCATGAGTATTTTGACTGCCACCATTGTCTTTGTTTGGATATTTAGGTATTTAGCCACTTTGGCGAGCATGCCTTGTCCAGTGAACTCCACCACAGTGTAAGTGGAGCCAGTTCCCTGCAGAGCATGACTAGTAGTCATTTTGTCTACAGTCAGTGGCACTGGGGACAATAAACAGACTGTTGGTGTGGAGATTGGAGCAGGATGGTGGACCATAGGTTTCTTGCAGTTTATTTGAGACACCACAGAGCTATGGTCTCAGATCCACATGCTATGAAATGAGTCTGGAGCAACCTACGACCAATGTATTTATACAGTCCATGAGGAATACATCAAGGGGACATCAAACACTTCTCAAAGGATCTTTATCACTTGTTCTCAGACTTAATGATTACATAACACACCCAAAGTACACATACATCAAAGTAATCCTCCCTTATTTATTTATCCACAATAACTTTTTGCCTTCCAATATTATATGCATGTGTTCTTCTCTACAGATGCATGTCATATTTGTCCATATGAGAATATTCATCCATGGTGAAACCCTAAATGCTGTATTAGAATGCTAGTGTATTTTTCATAAATTGGCCTTCCTCTGATGGATTTACTCTCGGTCTTCTTGGTCCTCTCTGCTCTGGTTCTGTGTAATACCCTGGACACTGGTCTGGAGGTAAGTTAACAGACTACAACACAACAACTGTCATGATATTCAAATCAAAACATACAGAGTAACCACAAAACACATAGCCCAGTACACATGATAAAAAGATAATCTCTAAAAACTCGGAGGGTTTGTTGTGAATGTGGGTTCAAACCAACCGTAATTTGATTATCATCTTAATTATTTTTACAAACCTGCAGGGTCTGAGCCAGAAGCCATGCATTAAAGTTGGGGTGAGTTTGTGAAGAGCTTTGTCAAGAGGCACAGAGAGAGTTTGAAGGCAGTAGCTAAAAGTGAGTTGTCACAGCAACAGAATACAATACAATACAATTTATTCTTGTATAGCCCTAGGTCACAACAGAAGTCATCCCAGAGGACTTAACAAAACCATTAAATCACCAACACAGGTCAGAGAATCAACAGTTAACACATGGAGAATATAAAGCACACACAGAAGAAAATGTCCATACATGTTGTAGAATGCTAAAGTGTCCTGATCATCACCAATCCTTTCTGTTGGACACTAACTGTCCAACAAGACCCTCCTGCATCGACAAGGAAAAACTCTTAAAAAACCCAGTGGGAAAAAGTGAGAAACCTTGGGGAGAACTAGGGAAACCCACAGGGAGGGAGACCCATTTGAGAAAGGGATCCGCTCCTCCGGACGGACAGACTAATGATCTAGGACCTAAGCTACAGGACGTGGACCAGTGGCCGCTGAACGTGGACAGGTCCGGTGCAGGACTGAAGCACTCCCAGGCGGGTCGGGCGGGGCAGTCCGCAGGTGTAGATGGAGGAGGCCAGGCTCAGAGATCCCTTCATTGTACCATGAAACAGACAATGGGACAACGGGTGAATGGCAATGAACAAACTACAGTCAGAATCCTAGAAGTGCTAAACAGATAAAGTAGATAAAGTAGGAAGGAGGAGAGGATAGTGCTCAAGTTACCATACTTCTCCCAGCAAACTGACTCCCTATGCAGCTTGACTGACAGTCTGAGGAGTTTAGCCTTCCCCGAGTCTTACCTTCCTAACCATATGCTAAACTAAAGAGGACTGTTTTAAACCTAGCCTTGAATAAAGAGATTCATGGATTGCACACCAGGTGTGCAAACCGATCCAAGCAAACCTAATTATATATTATATATCATATACATCATATATACCATACATACCATATATATCATATATAATACACAACATAACATACTGCATAATATATAACATAATATACAACATAACACAATACATTATTGTATAATATATAACATAATATACAACATAACACAATACATTATTGTATAATATATAACATAATATACAACATAATACAGCATATATATATAATATATACACCATATATTATATATTACCTAATTATATGCTAAATTAAAGTAAAGTGCTTTAAGCCTGGCCTTGAATGTGGAGACCGTATCTGCTTCCTTAACATAAATGGGAAGCTGATTCCACAGTAAAGGAGCTTGGTAGCTAAATGCTCTGCCGCCAACAGTGATTTTTGAGACCTTAGGGACCACCAGACGTCTGGCGTTTTGTGAGCGCAACGCTCGACTTGGTTGATACGACACTAACGTGTCTTGGAGATAAGAGGGAGCCAAGCCATTTATGGCTTTATATGTTAAGAGAAGGATTTTAAACTTTATTGAATGGTACATGGTACATAAGAAGTCATCAGGAGGACTGCGGGAATAAAATTCAATTAAATGTATTACAATTGGACCAAATCTATGCAAATAGCTTAAGTTGGTGATTTTTGTATGTTCCCAGTATTTAGAATGGTCCCAGAATTACTTTATTGTTTTAAGACCCAAATTCAAAAAAGAATCTTGCACACCACCAATCCTTGCTAACAGCTTTATTCATACAACATTTCAGGGGTAAATATGTCTCACAGATATTCAATTCAACTTTATTACGGACTCAAGGTCCAAAAAGACAGCGACATCACAAACAACATTAAACTACAAACAAATAAATTACACAGTCCAATGCCCCGACAATCAACGTAATGCTGACTTGCTACTGTCACGCTACAGTCATGTTTTTATCTGTAGCTTTTTGAATAGTACAAAATATTATCTGGATTTGGTACAGTTACACCTTCAAATAAAACATACTAGCTTATTTGTTAATTATGGGTATCCATACAGGTTACTTCACAATTGTTGCTAAATCTGAATCTCTCACCATTATACAGGACAATGTGTTGTGATGTTTTTATTGAATAGTTTCTATAAAAGACAAAATATATACTTTTATTTCTATTGTATTAAATGAACTAAAATAAGAATAAATAATGTATCCAAAGTATTCTCTGAATAAAAATAATATCCAGATACAAGCAGTAACTCTGGATACAAGCAGTTCATCTGTCCCTCAGAAAAGTGACATATTCTTTGTCTGTGGACCTGGAACAAGTTTAGGCCTTATGCATTTCCCATGTACATGTATGTTTCTGAAAGTCCTGTGTGTCAGGACTGGATCCACTGGCCTCATGTTCTTGTCAGGAGCCGTGTGCACGGTTCACCCACTCATGCATTTGCTCAGTCTATGCACAGCGCATGTTTTATCAGACACTGATAAGTCAAAGAGCCGCTGCTATCTGTTTGACTTGGCTCTTCTCATCTATTTCCACCTTCTACAGGCAGATAACCCTCCCACCGAGTGATGACCTCTTTATGAAATGCAAATTAGGGCTTCAGGGTTAATTGAGCTAAGAAAAAGACTGGAGACCTCTTGTTGGGAAAAGTGTATTTTTTCCTTTCAAATCTGATTTACACAGAGCCATAGGGATGTTCTTTTTCCAAAATGTCTGCAAGGAACGTTCATTTGCCAAAAGGCAGAACTGAACAGCTTAATTCTCAGCAGACCACAAAACAGTTTTACCACTTAAGTCACTGTGCAATTAGATTATTAACAGTGTTGGGAAGGAACAACGGTGTATTCGTCTATGACGATATATTAAGAAGTTTTAATCGGTCATTTCTGTCTGTAGAATACAGTACTCATGGACCCTTCATGTCATTTATTGGATGCCAGATAACACATTCTAGTGCAGGTATTCAGTATTCTGTACCTAGAGACATTTACAAAGTATTATAAATATGAATAGTAAATCAAGTTTGAAAACATATTCTTTATAACACTCAGAATTATTCTTGTCTAATCTTTTCTTTCCTCAAATGACCAACAAAACACAACAAAGCACTCTACAGGGGTTTGGGCTCTTTCTTACAAATTTATCAAAACATAACATGCTTTCTAACAAAGACAGCATGTTGTGGTGCAACATTGTACTTTTTAAGCTTGTTCTGTTGGGACAAACAACTCTTATTAGTTATTAAATGAAAAGGTGCCAGAGCTTTAAAATACAGTAACATAGTTACGTATAAACGATATATATTTTTCTGTAATAGCTATACATAATCAATATGGTGTTTATAATATACAAATGTCTGTTGTACTAGCTATAACTTTAGGTTGTGTGTAGCATCAGCACAGCGTGTGTCCAGAGAAGAGGGAAGGCACAGTATCACCCCAGGGTGCAAATGCTTTTAAACTGAATGAGTCTGCTGAATGAGGGCAGTAGATGTGACTGTGCTCACAAGAAGATGCATGTGGCTGAAGAAAGGCCGTGTCTTGTATATGTGTGTGTGCGTGTGTGTAAGATTGTTTTTCCTCAGGGCTGTGGACAGATGGGCCGCGGCACTGTTGTCTGTCCAACCCCAGTGCAGCAAAAGTCCCTCAGAAAGACCTCCGTGATGCACACATTCAAATGCATGACCCGGATCATGCCCCGTACACTAGCACAAAGACCTTTAAGAAGCAGTGTACAAGAGGCACATGTGTAACATCCTATTCTGCAGACTGGTAGGATCACATGAATACAACATTTTTGTGTGAATGTTCCTATTCAAACATAACCCTGGTGTTATGAATTCATACAAGTTAACAATTTAATCTTCAACAACATCGTTTACTCTTTGTAAGTTTCTTACCTTGAATATTATTTGTTTTGGTATCCCCCACTCTTTTGTCTTGTCCGCCCGATGTCCTGATCTGTCTTCTTTCCCAGACTAACTTCCTGTATTGGAAGCAGATTTGATTTCAAGGTTATACCAGTCAGGACTCTGTGTCCTGTATACATACTTTAGGTGTACAGTAACGCATGTGCAGCTGATAATGACAAAAAACACAATCCATTAACATCTCAACCCAATTCATTTTTACAGTCAGTCACATGTTTTATACAATGCTTTGTTTGGGGCACCGTTTACATCTCCCCTGCTCCCACTGATTTAAATGAGCTCTGTGAGTTCTACCGTCTGCAATGCATTTCTGTTGAAATCTTTAATTTCATGTATCATTGAGCAACCTGTCCTCACGCGCCAGTCTGGCTGTAATGACTGTGTTTGTGAATGTCTGAGGCTGGAGCACTTTTGGACCACACTGCAGTTTACACCACATTTCTATCTGGTGTTTGGGATAAAAGTATTATTGTCACCTTCTCACTTTTTATCGAGTCCTTTTTGGGCATTTTGCAGAATTAAGAAGAAAGTCATCCACTCAGACCACATGTTTCTGTTTTAACTACAACACACACTTAGTTATTTTAGCTTTTATTCCCCTCTCAACAATGCAAACATTTACTGCGGCATAGTAAAGCTTGAATACACCACATGTATTTCTCTTTAAAGATGTGTTTTGTGTTTTGTCTTTTATCCCAAAAAATAGTATAAAGGACTAAACACATATTTTCTGAATTATGATTATTTTTGATTTGGAAAAGACAGCATATAAAGCTGGGGTACCTTACTTTTTCACTTGTTTGTTTCATAAATAAACAATATATTAGTCTTTACTGCAAATAACACAATAACAATATCACTCCACAACATCCTGTCTTTATTCTATTAGAGAACATTTTATCTTTTGCATACGTGACCCGGCAACAAATAAGCAGAAGAAAATGGATGGAGCCCAGTAAGTCACTAGACATTTTGGGGCGAGATCTGATTATTAGCTGAGTATGAATACGAGTGATACCACGCTGTTTGGCGCCATAATTTATTACATAGTTTTCATTTTTATGGTTTGAAAATTAGGTAGTCTAGCTTTAAGCAAATTAGTTTCTAGAAGTGACCCCACAATGCAACCGCTAATATCCGCATACGTGCAATAAGATTACTGGGCGGCACGGT